TGCGGTGCTTGCCGAGGGCCACTGCCTCCTCCATTTCGTGTGCCAGGCTGGACCATAAGGATCAATGCTTCGCCTCTATGCTCCGCTTAATGCGCGCCTGATAGTCCGACTGTTCACATAGTGCTCCGAGCTAGCCGAGAGGTCTCTTTTGGATTCCAACAGGTTCACCAACCAATCGGATATCCAGTGACTGATGCGGTGATGCTGGGTAGAGCCACAAGCAGATGCTCCTGCGTCGTGCAGGTTGGCCGAGGTCTACTGCAATTAAGCTAATCGTCCTTAAGCCAATAAAGCGAAAGTTCGGTACACAGTGTGCCTAGATAGGCTATTCTGACCGAGGGATAAGACAATTACACGGTTGCTACTCGTGGGAAACGCTTGATGCGTCTAGCAGTAGAGTGCATGGTGAAATGAGAGCGTACTAGGGCATGATCAGTGACGACACGGGGATTCCAGTCCGCGCGACAATCTAGGATGAAATCACGCTACTCGTAACGTACGGTAATGTAGTCAATTTGTGTCTATCGCTGGTCAGCTACAGGAGGCCGCCAAGTGGCACTTCGTCGTCCAGTTTGTCTAAAAGCAGTGCTACTTCGAAACAACTGATACTCCGCACACAATTGCAACAGGCGCTTGCCTTTGTCAGGCCTTACGGGGTTAAGCCCATAATTACCACCCAGCTGCGCTTCTGCAGAGCTCATACGCTCTGATTCGGCGTTCATATCACCTGAAAATTCCATAATATCTGAACTGGCAGCACTGAGTAGCAGCGCAGTTAGGGTATGGGTGAATGTCTCCTTGACAGCAGTAGGACTGCTGTCGGTGGGCACATAGGTGGAAAGCACAGGTACACGGCGTTTTGTACTAATTGTGAAGCAAACTTAGCTGATGCCGGCATACGAGCTGCACTTAAACTGCTGTTCACCTGAAGCCAATCAACCAATGATGGCTTAGCGTTTGAGCTTAGAATGATATCTAAGTCAGCTTGGCCCGTGGGTGATGCAACGGCGTCTTTGGATGTGTGCAATCAATCACGAGTAGTTAAGCCTGGTGCAGTTACTTCAACGAACCCGGTAGTTGCACTGATCCTAGATTCGGACACAGAACACCTGCCAATGCCCAGTGTGTCTAAGGTGCATGCAAGTGCAGTCAGTTGGCCTAAGTATCTTAGTGTGCGTACATCGAACGCCGCCAAATAATCTGATCAGCGTGACCGCGTAAGAGCTGTTGCCAACTGGCGTCCGATGGGCGTTGTGATGTGGCTGAAGATGGCTGCTGTCACTTGAGCTGGACATTAAAGGCGAAAGATTAGTAATGGGGTCGAGATGGAGGTAAAAGCGGTAGGTGGAAAAGAAAGTAGGCGCCAGCAGTAGCCGGATTTGCTCATCCGCTCTGCTGTATGTAGCAGATAAGGTGACCGGTTGCTAATCTCCGCCGCAGCCGATACAGGATGAAGTTTATGTTTGAGGAAGACGGCGGGGTTGTATGTGGACTGTGATGCTGCCGGGCACCCAGACGGTATATTGTTGGGGGCCATCCGTCAAAGCCCTTGACTGCAAAGCTTTTCTGCAAGACTGCGGAGATGGCAATCTTTTCGATTTACATAAATCGAGGTTAACCCTTTGTAACCCTACAACCTAGAAGACCAGGCGTCTTTATTTGTCTGACCACTAACCATTGAGCCATCTGGTAGGATGCGCTATTATGTGGCCGGAGACACTAACCAGTCTAGCACAAGGTGTCAGTGAGGTACGGAATCCGTCGTATTACGTCAAGGTCCAATCTCGCTGCAATTGGTTAGTTTTTCCTCGCGCTACGCAGTTAGTCAACGTCTACTTCCTGGTTCCACCCAGCAGTTTGCTCTAGGCATTGTCTACACCACGCTTTAACCTGAAGAGTATTGGAGGAGGGATGCATGTTGCGATTTTTGTATGACGTGGTTAACGCGCCGCTCCTTTGTTGTCATAACGGCCGACAATTTTGTGAAGCTGTTCTCAGGTTTTGTGCTACATTAATTAGAATATTGTATTCAGACTTGCCCATCATGTCTTGTAAGAGACAAAATAAAACTGGAGCTTGTTGTGCTAGTAGGTACAAGGCTAGTGCAGGGTAAACTGGGGCAAATCTATTCTGAACGTTTTTTAGCTTAGGCATGTACTCAATGCACTAACAGAGCATTGGAGGAGACAGGATACTCGCTTATCGTATCCCAACTGATAAGATCGGTCTAGAGATGTCCTGGCTATTTAGTCCTACCAAGCTGAATAGTTTCCGAGGTAACCCCTTTGCAGCTGCACAAACTGAATTCTTACCGAGTAAGGACGGAAACTCGCTTATCGCGCCGTGTCACATAACGTTGGAACGCGCGTCTTGCGCACGTTGTTAGGTAGCCTTTGGTTGAGTGTTCCGAGCGTCAGTTAAATGAGCTTGGATGGCAGAACCAAACCTTCCCTTTCTCCTATTGACTTGTAACTTCAACTTCCTGCTTGTTTTTCTATTTCTTCTTATGAGCTTGGTAGTATCATAACAGAGTACAGTTCTCCTATTTTTCTCTTAGCATATCCATCTAAAAATAATTAAATAAATACATAAATATTTTATTCTCGACAAAGCGAGGCACGCCTCTTAAGCATGATCAGCCTATTGTAATATTGTACATGGTAGTGTGGTTAGCAGCATCAAGAGCGGGAGTAGTACAGATGAAGTCAGTGGCGTGGGCCCACATGGCCCAAAGGTGGTAGAAGGTCTATGTCCACAGAATGCGAGATGTATAGATAAGAATCAGAGCACTAATGTGGAGTACGTTGGTGAGAAACTACTCCGAGGATGTGTGTGCACAGGGCTAGTCAGGTGAGTGAAGCAATAGGAAGAAATTGCAAAAATATTCAGCATCGTGGCATGTAACTGATCAAATATGTAGGCGTGTTCGCACTAAAGCAGATATATGCATAGAATTTGTAAATGTGGTATAGGTCAACTTCTCTCTGTCTTACTTCATATAATCCGGCAAGACAAGAACTGCCGGCCATGAAAATGTGGATGGTAATTGTTTGGACAGGGTGCGATGCGGTCTTTTTTCAGGCACTTTTACATATAAGCAGTCTTATCAATTCCCGGTTTAGCAATGCGCGAACGAGGGAATTTTCACCGGATTGTCTTATCATTCCGGCTGTAACTGGACTTAAACATGAAGCACGTTTTCCTCCACCTGCAATTATTTCTTTTCCACCCCGACACAATCGGTCAAACAGGTTCCTATAGTTGCGCACACTATTATAAAAAAGCACATGCCATTTGCGTCTACTTGCACCAGTTGTGCAAAAGTATTCGCCATGTGCTTCTTTACGAAACCTTAGCATTACCAGCAATACTTATTTGTACAAAGTATGCTCAATGCAGGGTTTAGCGGTTTTTATACCACACTTGCTTTCATTTCAATAGCTTACCATTATGCGAATTTACTTTTTGTAGGTGCAATAAACGTGAGCCAACTTGGTGGCCATCATTATCCAACCGTAATTAATTCAACGTATTTCTCCGCCTTCAATGCTACATTACACCACTGAGCAGCTGCTTATAAGCTATTGTAGTTATACAGCCAGATACTTGTATCGGCTTGTCAGTAGGTGCTAAATATCTTGTTGATCGCCGTTATTTCTTTCTTTATGTTTTAAGTGTAACCAAGTTCTTCGCGACGCACTCTGCGGGTCAGTCACAGGAGAAGCTAAAATCCATGAACCGGACGATTGCTATATATTTGCGACCCAAGGCCAGTCTCCAAAAATGCCTGCAGCTGCTACGAAGCTCACTAGCATTCCCTCTCGCGACGTCGTCCAAACATCTCACAGCTCCCGTCAGTCTTGTGTGCACCAGCAGGTTGACACGGATCAGGTTTTCCAGAAAGCGTTGAGGACAACGCTCTACATGAGGTGGTTAATGTAATTCGTCAGCGCCGCCTAAGCAAGGCATTAGGAAAGCTGTCAGCGAACTTGTTTAGCAGATCACTATCATTTCCTTTTCTCTTTGCCTTTTCATTTCCTCTTCCGTGTCTTTAGGGTAATCATTTTCGGTGCATGTCTTCGTCATCGTTTCACTCATCTCAGGCCGGTTCTTCTATCGGCAGCAGTGACAAATCAGTCAAGCTCGCCTTGATGTCTAAGTCAGCTCCGACCTTACTAAGTGTTGCTGATGAAGTCGAGCAGCGGCCGGCGAGGTATCTCCTATGCACTTCAGCCCCACAGGGGTTTTTGTTAAGTACGCCGCCGAAACCCACGACCATAGGTACGCCATACTCGGTCGGCCTTCATATTTTGCTTCAGTAGATCCACGTTCATCATCCGAAACTCATTGCTGTTGACAAAATCTTATCCGGAGGCCTGCAAATATAACGATAGCTGGAGGTTAGCACGAAAACAACTGTGAATAATGAGAACATCGGTGTATGTGCACAAAGACAAAGTGCTTTTAAAAGGAATTGTGGGTTATTAAAAAGCACACGACGTTTATAACACACTGAAATAAAAGTGCTTAATGGCAATCTGGTTTGGTTGCCTTAACATGGTACTAGTGTTAATTAACTGTCAATGAACTAATGAGGTGCAGCTTTTTTGGTTTTATGGCTATTATACAAGCTATCGTTGTGCATCGCCCATGTTGTTCTGTAGGGACTTACTACGCATTTTTACCGAATGTCGTCCGTTTGTTTTTTGTCGATTCAGATGCCTATGCTTTTACTTCCAGCAAACATGTTTTTAACTATTTGTGTAAAGATTATTTGCATGGACTAAAGCTGCACATTTTTGATATCTTACCTAAGGCAAGAGATGAGGTTATGATTTGTTTAAATTCCCCTGCGTGCCACCACCCTGGGGCTCGGTTTGTTTTGCCAACTCTTCTGTATTAAGATAAGCAAAAGGCGTCTTGCTGATTGATTGCCTGCGCTCCGTTTGCGCTCTTCTCATACCCAAACCGAGACAAATCACGCTACTGTCTTGCTATCAATGCTAGGTTTTACAGCACGTACTTCTAGCTCAATTGCTGACACGGATGAACGAAGTCGTGCCGCAACCGCTTCACATTCGTTGAACCTGACTACGGTTAACCACTACGAAGACGCCGAGTTTAAGTTATATGGAGCCGTAGTCAAGGCAAATGTGCTACTGGTTTTATCGGTACAAATGGCTAAGCCTAAATCCGAGGCAAAACGTCAGGCCCAAACCTAGGCCACGATTTGCTGCTTCACAATATCACTGCGTCCCGATGATGTCTGTGTGCTGGTTGCACATAGAACATTCAGTAATGGATCATAGATATTCTGTCTCAACAACGGGCTTAGAATAGGTACCCGCGAAAATCGAATTCCGATTCGGGTGTTCTTACTACCAGTAGAGACGAGCTAGGTTTCAACCTAATTATATTTTGATTGCAGACCTACTATAATTGGTGTCGTGGACGGTGTTTATTTCAAAATGTATTTAACTATTGAAACCTTAAGCACAAATGCGTATCCACGGGATCTAAAAGGAGATATGGAAGGGTTCGAGCTATGGTTGCTCACTAAATGTGACCTTTGCGGAGACTTAAAAAGCGTTTACTTTTTAACTGTTGTTGGTTGAGAGGCATATTCACTTCTGAAAAAGCTGTCTTTTCCTTAGCCCCCGTCAAAGTTATCCTACGACAACCTGAAGGACCTTCTTTCGTCTCAATTATTACCGGACACTTTTGTGGTTGCAGGAAGCGTCAAGTTCAACTTACTGAAAAGGCATCCTGCTCAAACTGTTCGTATGTTTGGTGCTGCTTTATCCGTTCTGTCACGGCTAATTATGGCACTGTGTACTGAACGCGGCATGGTAGCTGCTTTTCTGATGCCGCGTGATCTTTGCACGATAGCCAGCTCTTTGTGACGTCATGTTTACTTCGCAAAGTTTAGACGCCTTGGCCCTGATGGGTTGCTTAGGGCATGGTGGTCATTAAGTTCCAATTCTTTCGCTCATATTACTGTTTATGTTTTATGGCATCATGTTATTATGGCAAGGACGTTGCTTGCACTCTGCACAGTGGCGCATCTCCTGCCGCCTCCTTATCGAATTGGCTGTTCACAGTATGTTTGTTTTTGAGTTACCTGCTAAGTAACAACTAATCATGACACGGAGCATTGAATTCGGTGAGGTAGCTTCTTTGGCGATGCCGCTTTATCTTTGTACGATATCCAGGTGTGTACGACGGTATTTTGTCTACATGACGTGTAGACGCCTTTGCTACGAATGTTGGCTTAGTGCGATAAGATTTTCCGGTATATCCCACTTTTCGCCCTTGTGTTATTCTATTTCCCATACCCCACTATGGTTGTACTGCAGCGAGATATCCGTTTAAGTTGCTGACATAAATGAAAAGTAAATAAATGTTTTATTCTCGACAAAGTGAGGCACGTTTTGTGGGCATGATCAGCACATTGTAATATTGTACATGGTGGCATGATTAGCAGCAGCAGGAGCGGGAGTAGTACAGATGAAGTCAGTAGTGTAGTTGCGTATGGCCCAAAGGTTGTACGAAGTGTATGTCCACAGAATGCGAGATGTAGGGATAAGAATCAAATCACTAATGTGGCGTATGTTGTTGAGGTACTAGTCCGAGGAGTTGTGCGCACAGGGCGAGTCAGGTGTGCGAAGCATGATGGAGAAGCTGCAAAAGTATTAAAGAATAGGGGCATGTAACTGATCAAATGTGTAGGCGTGTTCGCACTAAAGCAGATATATGCATAGAATTTGTACATGTGGTATCGGTCAACTTGCAAATGTGTGATTGGGGTAGTGCATTTATTGAGTGGCGAGTCACATCCGCCAGGTCGCAGTGTTGTGAAGCAGACAATTGTGGCTTTTTGTAGACAAAACGCTTGCCAGACGTAAACCCACCACGTCCTGGAACACTGCCGATTGAAGATACAACATTGAGAAGGTTGCATCTGACCACTTACCTTCGCGAATATTCGCAGTCAGGTTTCGCCAATTTGTTTCCCAGGTTTGTGTAGTCTTCTTCGGAGTCGACTGCAGGCGGTTGGAGCTGTTGAAGTCGGATAACTCAGGTGACTTGTATTGATTTGATTTGTTTGCTAGGGTCCTTTAGGGCATCAGGATTGCGAAGTGCGTGATTTCTTTGTTCTGTGTTGATGCCATGTCCAGGTGAGCAGCGCAGGTACGTCCTATGAGGTGTTGCGTGCAGGTAATGTTTTTCTTTAGTACAAGGGAACAAAGAAAAACGGGCCGAGAAAACTGCCAAGGAAATTGCATAGGACTATGTTAATGTATAAATATAAAATTTATGGTAACCTTGTGCTGGTTAAAAGCAATGGAATGACCGAACAGGTTATATATCATATCTGTAATTTCGTGTGCAAGCACGAGCCCCGGTATTTGCTGAATGTGCTAGACGAATGCTGTCCGAAGTGAACTAGCGTACGCAAAAGCTGTCCCGTGTAGGAACTGGAAGTAGCAGGCGTTAGCCCGTAAATAGGTTAGGGGAGTCAGAAGCACATAGTAAGGTTTAAAATGCGCTTAAGACATAGGTTAAGCGGTGGGTTGACAATGGTAGAGCCTATCTTTCGAATATGTAAGAGAGCCAGTGGAGTTACTAAGCCGTGTTTGAGACCCATGAAAATAATAACGCAAAATATTCAGTACGTGGATGCTTGAGAAACAGCTGGGTGAAAGAGCGAGACGGGGTGTCAACGTTGTGACGAGCATGGGATTTATATACTACAGCTGTAGCGAGAATATGATTGCAAAGCCAGCCATAAGGCTTCTTTTGATGGGGTCGTTTTTACACTATTAACATGTCTATGGCAAAGATTCATCAATACCAAAACTTGTCATCTTATAAACCTACACGTGCGAGGCTTGCAGCTGGGAAGCACAACGCTCCCGCTAAGTTCACGGAGCCCCCTTTTCTCCCAAGGACGTGCAAGTTGCCCACGTTAAGCCGCATTTGCTGTCTCCATATAGCGATCCGCTTTCTCAGTCAGCGTATTTACGAACCAGTCTTCCCCCTTTGCGTTGTTCCAACTATCCACACTCCGTCTAACATAGGAACTTAATTTACACCCAACCTTCGCCTTACTGCCACTAAACCAACCCTGCAGAGGAGCTGCCAGTAGCTTACTGCTTGACCTTCACGCCTACTACAATGCTACTGCTTATACTACAGCAAACTCCTTATGTGTCAGTCCAAATTGTTACGCGCGTAGGAATGAGACCTTAGACCCGGTATGTTACCAAACTGTTTTCTCCTGTATTCCTCTAACAACTTGCCAGCGGAAGACCTATGGGCTCACGATAACACTTACTGCCAGACGCCTCAGTGCATCTTCCAGACCGTGGTGAGGCGCAAACCGCAAATTGTGTCTACCAGCACGTGAGACATCCGTTGCGCTCTTTACTGACAACACCGTTCTGGCACGCAGAGCTACTACCCACGTCCTCGACTTCATTCTCTCTAAGGACTCATGCAGTCTAATTTGCAACATGCTCCTTATCGAGGCAAGGTCCATCAAGCATAAACTGAACTACAACAGTCTATTCCTTCTTCTTCATACAACTTGTTCTGATCACTAAAACTTGTAACTCTTTACGCACCCCTGACAACGCTCTAAATATCCCCGGGTACAGCACGTTCTACAATGGAGGTTCTAACTAACGCGGAGGTGGATGCTGTATGTACGTACGGGATGACTTCCTTTTGTGAATTTGAGCTGTTACCAATTGGTGACCATGTGGATTCAATCTGGATCCCGATGAAATGAGGGTACGCTTGACCTCCAAAGTGGTTGCATACACAACCCACACAAACATCTATTGCTAAGCTTACCGAACGCACAAACCTTTAGGCTAATGTTGCTACAAATTCCCACGCTAAAAGATGATGGGCGGTGACTATATTACGTCACCTATCTCTTGGAATGACCAGAGTGTACCCCTCAGACACAAGGGTTTTGTTGATACCATATTTGCGAACAACTGGTTCCAACAAGTCTATGTTCCGAATAAGCTCTGTATCATTCGACTTCCTTTATACGCTCGGCACCTCAGATTCTGTCACTAGAGTAAAATACAACAGCCCATGAAGCGACCGCAAGATAGTTCATCTATCATTTACGCTTTCTACCACCCTCCATTTTTCAACCAGTCTAGTTGGTAATTCGGACGTTTAGATGCATTAACGGGGATAGCTTTTCTATTCTTATCTAGTCATCCAATTCTGATGCTATTTTTACGCCAAGGATGTGGACACCATCACCCGTGATCTGCACAACAACAGCAACAAGTGTTTAGACGGGATCGCTCCAGTAATGAACAGTCACTAGCGGAAAAGGACAAAGCGTTTATCCCTTCTAAAGCGGGTGCTGATGAAGCTCAAAAAACGCGTCACCAATACCCGAAGACTATTGATTTCCACCTTCATGTTTGCATGAACAAAGTCATAAACAACTGACAACACTCCCAGGTGCTGATTAGACAAGCTGAGGGGCGCACTGCCCATAACATAAACAATAAAAGCAAGTCCCTCACTCAGCTACAGAAGCATAGAAACAAGCGTACAGTAAACGGCCATCGCCAGTTTGAGACTCTCCAATGGGTACTTATATAGTGCCCCAATAAAAACATCTGGGCTTCACAATATCTACCTCTGCTATTCCTTTAATGACATCAACGTGCTTTTGCCAAATGTTATACCTAAACTTACCCGCAACGCGCTAGACTTATTTATCTCCGACTTATCTTCTCTACCCCGAGTAATGAGATCACTCCAGCTGTCACTACACCCTGGCCCTGATGGTCTCCCAGCCGCACTCCTGATACTTGTAGTGCACCGGAAAACATGCTCTTTCAGTATCTTGTAACACTGGATTTTATGGTTGTTTTAACCTTCGAACGTCCACTTGTTTTACTGACTGCACGTCCGTTGTCACAAACCGTTTTGGTGAGTACCTCGCTGCACGTTTCTCGCTCTGTCTGATTCGCTTCCTATTCTTGTAGCCTGTACAATATACGTTAGGTTCAGTCGCCTCCGATTTCTATACTGTCGTATTTGACACGTCTTACGTGGCATTGCTTACCGACTAGTATCCCAGGCTCCGCCCAACATACTCGTCTGCCAAGACATTCCTCTCGACTTATTAATTTATTTATAACCTCAATGCACTACGGAGTATATCCAACCAAGTGGAAGC